AACGAATTGAGCAGTAAGTCTATTGTAAACAGCAAATGTGTAGCCGGAGAACAAGCAGGAACGAACAACGTGTAGAAAGGCAGGCAGACCGACACCGGCTCACACGTCGCACTACATGTGAATGCCGTCAATCCAGCATTCAAACAGTCAGTTAATCGATCAATCAATTGGGCCACAGACATGTATGAACACAAATCAGTCAGTTGTAGACCACAACAGGCACCAATTGTTGAATCTTTCATGCAGAGACTTGATAAAACCCTGGCACATCTCACATTCCTACACGAGTGAAAAACGCCAATTAGTTGAAGACTCCTACCCGGAACTCTACGCGACATTTTATCATTTTTTCGCCCAGGAACGATTCATTTGCGCAAGCATCCTCTGGGGACGAGGGAAGCTTGAGATTGTAAGTAATTCTAATGATACTACTTTTACTTTGGTTTTTGTGTACTCGTCCTCATAAGTTTGCACATGAAAGACCCGGAATATTCATTTATTAGAAAGATGTTTCTCACTTTTTAGAGTTCATCTTTAGTGAAATCCAGCAAACGTAGCTTCGTTGGATGAATAGTGCATGAACTCTTTCTTTTCATATAATGATGTGATGCTTTGGCGATATATGAATGTTCAAATTGTTATTTTGGCAGATTGAAGTCTTATGTTGAAGTTGGGAAAAGTTCAGTGGTCCCTCGGTGGGATTCGCTTCTTCATGCATGTACGTCGCCTACGCCTTTTTTTACAGCTCACGCTCTACTAGCTGAGTGTGCATTTTCTTCAACTGCATGTTTCCGCGAATCGAGCCAACCGGTTTTTGTGATCGGAAGGCATCTGTAGAAATGCTGGGCCGTTCGGTACTTTGTTCTCTGGAAGCTCACCATGGAATATATTTCGTTCTATATTTCATCGATTGAAGGACAGCATCGGCAATTTTAAACGCAGCTGCTCAATCGCTCTTTGACTAATACTACAACGTACTCACATTGTGGTTCAAATTACTCCTGTGTACCCCGGATTTTTGTATGTTGTGATCATCATATTTGTCTTCCAGGAATACAAATTGTTTCGGAATGTGGTTATGTAATGTGACAAGTTAACTTGGTGTGTTTTCGTTGTTGTTGTTGTCGTCACACTTCTCATAATCCGGGAAGCCAAATGTTTTGCTTCTGCTTGGCGTTACCGAGCTAGTCAACCGCTTCGGATTAGGCTGCCCCACGATTGGCTGGTCTTGCTATCGACCTGCTTTGCCGCACACCACACCTGCAAATGGGTTACTGCACGACTTAATGGATGTTCAGTTGACTGTGGTTCTTAGAGTGGTTATAAAAATGTAAGCATTATGTGAGATGTACCACACGGAATCGGGTCGCCCGCATCCATATTCTTTTTAAAGCTGCTTTGCACTTACCGCTCACATGGCTAAACACATGATATTCTTTGACGAGGAATAACATCAGGGCGTGTGTCTTTTCTACTATTCAGATGAATCTAGCTCTTGAATTTTGGTGATGATTAGGGGGTTTTCTAATTATTTGTAACTGAGTAAAGTTTATTTTTTATACAAACCTCTTGTTACCCTAATCAGACCGGCGTCCAAATTTTACGGGATGTGTGGGATCGAATTTAGGTTTTCGTCCACTTGTCACTTATAGGTGATTAAGCAATTGATTTTCAATTATCCAAAGATAAATGGTTACCGGTTTGGAAATAACTGAACTATCAAACACTGCAGCGCCTAGTTGGTTGTGCCTCGTTTTTCCTAGTCAAACTCAAACCGGATGTTTTTGTGGCACAAAAGTTAAAATGAAGCATGAGATGCGATTTCCTGATTTAAGTGTCTGAAAAAATGTCACTGTCATTTTCCTTGTATCTAGAGTGAGGCCTAGATAATGAATGGGTCGGTATTGATCTGATCACACGTCACGGTGGGATAAAGAGCAGAAGGAGTAAAACCCATAATAACCACTCCCTCCTAATGTTATAATTCTACAAGGTGGTGCTCAGTCGAGGGAAGTTGGTTATCGTCAATAGCGGTCAGGACATGGTCAAATTGTCATTCATATAGCAAAATATCTCATTTGGAACAAGTTTACAGAATTCCCGCACACACACACACAGGATAGTTGATGGAAAGGTCCACTATTAGATGCACATTCTTGCGTTCGCCATACCGAACAGTAGCAGTTTGCTCCGACAGGTCTCGTTCATTTTTGGTCGTTGAGAGAAGCCGCTGATCGCATTTTTTGCGTACTACTCACAACACTGACAGCCAACAACCGAAGTCTTGAAATGCTAAACTAAATGCGATCACACAATGATTTGCGTCATTGAGATGGGCAGCAGTAAAGCTGCCTACAAGCAACAAACTTTAGGTGGCGATGTCGCTATTCGACCCCTAGGGCCCAAAGCACGCCAGCGACATTGACTTTGGACCGTTTGATGAGCACCACCCTCACGCAGCTTCCGGTACTTCTTCACCTGTCCAGTGGATCACGTTTGTGACTGTTCCATCAAGTTTTTTTGCTAGACGAATTACGTTCTCGCGGGGTTGAAACAGTGGAGTTCATTATAATTGACATAGTTGCTTCGGATGGCTGTGGTTGTTTTATTTTACACGGATTGGATTGACCAGTTATGCAACGTTGAGAATGTTTTAATGATAATGGTGTTTTTGTATTTGACCTATCTGCTTTTTCCTCACTCAGTTTATGTTCTCGTTAAACATTTCTCCCTATTATTTCGAGATCGTCATACTTCAAGTAATGCATAAAATTGATAGTGTTTTCTGTCACAGATTTATGATTCGTAACTTGAGGTAGACATATAGTATTAAATTCTAATGCGCTTAGTTAGTCTTTGTACTCATTGCTACATGTTCTTTTG